GAATGTTTCTACATACACAACAACCGCCCCGGGTACGTTAATCCACGGTTTCACGACCCGGTTTGATAAAAAAAATAGTTCCTCACATGCAATTCCCTTTGGGGAACATTTAGTTTGGAGGGATTTCCTCAGGGATCAGTTTTGGTGAATCGATGGAAAAATTCATCTCACATTAGGTCAAAGTCCTAGCCACGCAAAATACGAAAAATTTGTACCAGAAAAATAGCCCGCGCTCTTCGAAATCGGTTTGAAATTTTCGGTCTCCGTGGAATTTAGTCGTTTTCAGATTTTGGACTTCTGGGCACCCTGGCGGACTTAATATGTTAAGCATTGAATTATATTAGACACTCTCGTCATCCTCATAAGCTTGCAGCAGGACTGAAAAGAAAACGCCCGATATCCTCCTGAGAACTTCTTGTCAGCAGCCCTACGTGATCTTCCATTCCACAAACGCTGAGTCGTTTCTTTCTATTGTTTTTAAGTTTGGTCTCGCTAAATAGTACGTGCGATATTTTTAACAACGATTATCGTTTGCAACCTATTATGGCAGTACAAAATATTGCCTTCGATTACTGTGCAAAGGTGTCGGCGGGGCCAGGAATTGAACCACCTCATCCGGCAAAACTGGGAATCCAACTCGGTCACTATCGTCCAGGGAACTGCGTCGTGACCATTGTGCCACTGTCCCACGCTGAGACAGCTCACTTAAATTTACGTGATGGAATCCGAACTAGGAGTAATATGCCCGACTGCAATTCTACATATTCCATGAAAACGCCTCCCATGAAAAGGATTAAATGTCCAGTACGTCTAAGGGATGTCAGTCACGATGAGGAAGCCTGCATATCATGCTGTACACATCTTCATAAATTTTCCAATCTTGACAAAGCGATGAATAGTCTGTAATTTGAAATGGAGCAGGAAATGACAATGGACCAAACAGCCCTTTAGGTCCCAAAAACACAGGGAAAACTTAAGAAGGAAAGAAAAGTCTCTAAACAGTCTAAGGCAGGGACCTGTAGAGGGGTTCTGAAAGGATGAACATGTTTACTTACCGCTTACTACCAAATTTAAAGAAGGTTGATATTTCCACAATCTCCCAATTTTCGGGACGCCGACTGTTGGTCCAGTAGGAATTAGATGATATTGGACCGAAGAGGGATCCTCGGAGGGCCAACATATGCAATAACCGCTTAAATCAGTTTATCAAGCAAAATGATTTTTCAAATTAACCATGGGAATAACCGTTTACTTAAAATTTTTTAGTGGAGCGAATGTCCACAATCTTCCACCTTCTTCACTCTTTCGCCGTTATTCTAGTTGGGCTTAGCTATATTACTATAAATGTACCCCAATGACCTCGCCCGGGGTCAGCAAACACCTCTTCCCGATATACACGCGCTCGCCATTGGTCCATTAGGGGTTAGCGATGATATTAAAATGAACTTCAGTGTCCCCGCCTGAGGTTGGGGCACACCC